GGCCAGAGCAAGACTGCCTGTTTTTCCACAATAGTAGCAATGAAACTAAGAGAAGATTTAAAAGATACACCCAGTTTTAATATATACTTTAAATTTTACTGGGATGATAAATTTTACTAGGATCACCAGGGTGAGGAAGCAGCAGAGAGTGCCTGATGCAAGGCAGAATATGCAATCCTCCTCACAAGCTGATAGAAACATTGATCCTGCTCCAGGTTTTACCCCAACTAGCTATACAACTGCACAACTAAAGTCATGAAGAAACCAAAGCATTAGTTGATAGGTTAATGGAATTCATACAAAGGCAGAGGAGATACTTGGCAACTGCGCAGTTTGTTTAGCCCACTCTAAGGGAAGAGGACTAAGGCCACATTCCTCCTCACAACATAATGTGAGGTACCCTTTCAGATGATGAAATTGACTTTGACCCTATATTTCCTATGGTATTCCTGGCTGTAAAAAGCTCACCTTTAAAAGAATTAAAATATATATCCCTATTAAATTGTATATGGACAATCAAGGCCTTTGAACTTAATTGATCTTAATCCAAAAAGGTGTTTCATCCAGATTCATGGTCAACTTAATTACAGGGTATGTGTTATACAATCTATTCATCAGGAGCAGCACCAAATCAAAAGGGTGAGTCACTACATTGTAATCAAAACAGGCTACATCAGATAGTACCACATAATCAATTACAAGCAGGATATTGGATGTATCACAAAGTGCATCAGAGAAAAGGCTGTCTCTCTCCAAGGTGGAAAGCCAAAGCAGTGCAAACTTGACAGCCTAACCTCATGGGTTCACCTCAGTCATCTCAGGTGCACTCCGCCTCCAGAAATCCCAGAAGCAACCTCTACTAAATAAATTGTTCTAGGTTTTTGGGAAGTAAGCAGACGAGAGAAGAATAGTGAAGCTTTGACTAAGAAATCCTGAAGAGCTCTTAAGAAACGTTTTAATAGATTTTTTAGGCAAATAGTCATCAGAGCAGTTTAACTGTGACATTTTGCTCCTGCAATTATTATTTAGCTTTTTTAATTGTACAGTTATTCTTTCCTTTCTCTACTTGCTTGCAGCAAAGCAAGGTTCTGCTAAAAACTGTATTCATGTTGGTAAGTGTGGTCTACCTGCAATTGTGAACACATTGGATGCAACAGCCACTGGGCCTATCTACCTACCAATAACTCTTATTTAACTTTAGTTCACTCCATAATTTTTTTCTGTACTTTTGAGGGAACAAATATACTTTATAGAAGTACCAGAGCAGTCTTTGGAGGCACTCCATAAACTGCCTCCAATGCATACACCAGTCAGCCTTTGTTTCTGTTTTTTGAAATATTTTTTATTGCTTTCTATCATGTATTTCCTTTCTATGTTGAGCAGTGTGTTCTCTAATTGTCCAAGGTGTTAACATACAAGCATATAAACATCATCATCATCATTATGATCATATATATAAACAAATATGTGGTAATATATAAATATGCGATAACATCAATCATATTATAACATATAATATCTTCCATTATAGTATCAATTATATAACCGTCAAAAATATTTACTCATCTGTTTTTCTTTCTCCTGTAAACCATATTTCACCTAATTCCATTCCTATAACCTCAATATCTGTCATTTAACTATTTATAGAATAGTTCCATGTTATGAAATAGTCCGAGTCTGCTTTTCTTTTAATTTTTAGGGTTAACCTATCCATCTCTTCACATTCCAGAATTTTTTTGATTATAATATTGTCTGCAGGGGTTTTGGGGTTTTTCCAACATTGTGCAGGATGTGTAGAACCAAATATGTGTTACCCTTATTATAATTTCCTGGAAATATGCCCAACAAAAATATCTCAGTGTCACTGCGTTCTTGTATTTGTCAGCTGGGCTCCCATTCTGAGACTTACGGTAGACTGATCTGACACTCAGGTTTCAGATCTATTTGTTGTCCAGTATTTTTTGGCTTTGGGGCATGTCCACCACATATGGTAGTATGAGCCTGGTGTCTGATTGCATTTCCAACATTTAACCAATTTGTTTTTATACATGTTCGCTAATCTTGCACGTGAGGAATGTCATCTGTAAAACATTTTATAGAGGTTTTCTTTGTATGCTGTTGACATTGTAAGTTTATGATTTCTATTCCATAATTTCTCCCACCTGTCCAAATCTATTGTACTGCCAAAATGCTTAGCTCAAATTATCATTGTTTCTTTTACTTGACCTTCTTCCAATTTGCAAGTTAATAAATAATTGTATAGTCTCTTAATTAATTTTTGATCTGTTCCCATTAATATCTGGTCCAGCTCATTGAAAAACACATATTTCTGCTTGTCTTTTTCGTACCTGGATTGTATTTGCAACTGTGGCCACCATAATAGGTCAATTCCTAATCTTTTTCATTCTTGTTCATTTAATAAGTCCTTGTATCTAATAATTTTATCCATATTAATGACATTGGGATATATCCATGCCTCTATTATAGATAATCATACTAGCCCTTTCAAAGAGTGTTGTTGTTTAATTTTGGTCCATGCTAGCAGTAGTGAATTTCTAATGTGATGCCTCTGGAAGTAGCTGTGTATCTTGCCCTTCTCATACCATAAGAAGGCATGCCATCCCAGTTGCAGATCATGACCTTCCAATGTTAATAGCCTTATATTGCTCAGATTGACCCAATCTTTCAGCCATTAAAGTGCCAATGCTTGGTAATCCAGAAGATCAAAATCTCCTCTACTTTTAAGTAGAGATCTTGTAACAGTTTTAATTTTATTCTCGCTTTTTTCTTTTGCCAGACAAATTTTAATATCAACTTATTTAGGTCTTCAAAATATTTTCCCCCAATTTTATTGGAATCATCTACAACAGGTATAATAATCTTGGCAGGATGTTCATCTTAATCATAGCTATTCTCCCCAATAGGAACAGTTGCAGGTTTTGCCAGTTTTTGAAATCCATTTAATTTCTACTTTCAATTTGTCGTAATTGTCTTCTTTGAGAGTTACACATCTTGCCATCAATTGGATCCCTAAGTATTTAACTTTTTTTACAATTGGCATATTCATTATTCTTGTAAACTCTCTCTTTTCTTTATCTGTAAAAATTTTAACCAATATTTTTGTTTTCTCTTTGTTTATTTTCAAACCTGCAATCGCCCCATATTTATCTATCTTTGTAATTAATTTAAGTCCTGTTTCCTGTGGGTCTTCTAAAATAAACACCAAGTTATCGGCAAAAGCCTCTAACTTATACTCCTCCTTTTTAATTTTCATACCCTTTATTTCATTATCTTGTTGGACATTTCTGGCTAATACCTCTACAGTCAATATGAATAACAGTGGGGATAAGGGACAACCTTGCCTTGTGCCTTTTGTTATGTTAAAATTCTCAGTCATGTCACCATTCATAATCACCTTTGCTGTATGTCTATGATATAGTGTTTTGATCATATTGGTAAATGTCTCTCCAAAGTCCATATATTCTAATTGTGCAAACATCAACCCAAAAAAGTCAGAGAGGGGGTATATATTTGCAGAGCATAAGTGTGTGTCCCCCAAATGTTACCTAATCAACTTGCCAGAACAGTTCTGATCCTCTCATATTGTCATCACAGATTCAGGAATGGCATGACTTCAAATTACACTAATCCCCCTTGGGAAATGCTTTCAGTTAAAAAAAAAAAGCATTGCAAAATATTGCTTTGTTTCCAGAGTTTTGCAGGCTATTTTTTACAAGTTAACTTTAATGGCTTCCTTCTAGCAATTGCCTGGCATTTTATCCTCTATCAATTATGTTTTGTTTCATATTCTTTTTAATATTGATTGTTTCCTAGTATGATTTAATTGCTTATTTGTACCCTGACTATCATTAAGTGTTGTACCTTATGATTCTTGACGAATGTGTCTTGTCTTTTTATGTACACTGAGAGCATATGCACCAAAGACAAATTCCTTGTGTGTCCAATCACACTTGGCCAATAAAGAATTCTATTCTATTCTATTCTATTCTATTCTATTCTATCACCAGCATCTCTTATGTCTGCTTATTTAATTTGGCTGATTTGACTGTGTAGACAAGATGCTTTCAATTCACTTCATTCATTCATTCATTCATTCATTCATTCATTCATTTCCCAGTCTCTGGCTATTTCACTTCTAGGGTCCTAGAACTGATGTTTCTGACTGACTAATGGGGTATGAGGTGGATGTGAGATGGGTACATTGCCGATGAATGTCCCATTTTGGGGATGGTTGCTGAATTCTCCAGGGCTGAGTTGGTGACCAGATCTTATCCCCAACAGACAGAATGAACCCCAATTGAACTTGGTGAATCACAAATTGTTAAAACTTTTCCTTGATCTGGCCCAAGGACTTTCCTATGGCCTGAGCAATGCTTGATCAGAAAATGAAAGGAAAGAAAAGGGGATGTTATTTATATTTGCACCAATGCCCAGCCAGTAGTCAATACAGTAAATTCTCCAGTTTGAAGGCCATAAATTCCTAAGGAAATTTTACTGAGAGAGAGGTTATTATTGAGTGTAGATTAAGAGAGTTATAGAGGAAAAGAAAAAATGCTGCATCATGACCCTTCAATTTGTCAGAAACCCATTGAAAGGACACAGTGGAGCTAGCATACTCCATTCTCATTTCTTTCGGTTACACCAAGATTCAAACTGTCCTGTCACCTTTTAATATTTTTTCAAAGGAGCTGCAGATATCAGACCCTAACCTGAACAAGAAGCAAAAGACAAAGTGACATGAAATCAAGATCCAATGTCAGGTGCTGATATGGATAAAAGGGATATTTACTTTAGAAGCACTTTCGTTGGTTACTGAAGCTCCTTTCCATTAGCAGCATCTTCTCTGGAAGATCCAGAGGGACTACAAAAGAGCGGTTATTATTCTTTTGTGTACCAACACCATGCTTTACTTTGTTTTAATTTAAAGGCACTAAAACAATCTTGAAACTTGTTTTGAAAAAATAATATACACTCACACATTCTTTGTGGTACAATATAAATTGACTTATTTTTTATTATGGTATTTCATGGTTAGACACAAATAGTTTTAGCCAGCATTTGTACCATAAATTCAGTTTTAGCTGTCTCTAAAAACTTGGAAATTAAGATAATAATAGAGTGCATAGCCTTTTTTTGCTGTTTCTTTTCCAAATCCAAATTCTAACAAAACTTTGTTAAGTATATACTTAGTAATCATAGATAGATAGATAGATAGATAGATAGATAGATAGATAGATAGATAGATAGATAGATAGATAGATAGATAGATAGAGATAGAGATAGAGATAGAGATAGAGATAGAGATAGAGATAGAGATAGAGATAGAGATAGAGATAGAGATAGAGATATATGAATTTCCAGATATATCATCTAAGACAGGGATCTCCAATTGTACTTTGATAACTTCAGGCAAGGTGAGATTATAGAGTCATATCACTGTATAATCAAAGTCAGTAGATACCGTACAGTACATTGAAATAATTTTCTTTCAACACTTGGCAAGCATGAAGCAATTTTAGCAACATTATTTTCTGGCCAAAATGACATCAAATAGATTTCCTTTCTTTAGCTGTATATCTTTGAAGCCAGCTGTGCTGAGGAATGAATGATACTCTGATGGGGTCCGTACTTTTCCTTCAGTATTAAGCAGCACTATGAGGGAGTACATGGCAATAGGAAAAGGCAGAGTCTTGTCTTTATCTAATGTTGGTTCCACAATTAATACTCCACCACCTGTAAAGATATAGTTAATATATAATATATAGTTTAGGAATAATAATAATAATAATAATAATAATAATAATAATAATAATAATAATAATAATAATAATAATAATAATAATAATAATAATAATTCAGAGGTGACTATGTTACAATTACAACAGCATAACTACTTGACTACTAAGATCAATCATGTAAATGACCTAAGTTTAACTAGAGTGGCATTAAGTTATATAGAGTAAGGCCACTTTATAAGCTACCTTTCAATGCTGGATATGATTTATACAGTATCCTAAGGCAGCCATGAAGTCACTGTAGGTGTATCCTCATTTTTGCAGACACTTATGAAGATATACACCCCCTAAAGCTCTGCCCACTCCCACAATCTTCTCTCTTCCCTTCCATATTGTCAGCTATCTTGCAATTTCTTTGACTGAGAAGATGCTCCTCCTAGTCTAGCTGCCATGTGCATTCCCTATTCAAAGAGAACACCCCCCTAGAAAACAAGCCGTGGACAATTTCTTCAATATCTAAGTTAAGTTTTTCAATAGATGAATGTGTTGGGATGCTCTTCTTCATCCTGTGATTTCCTTCACTGGAAAAAAAAATGCAGCTTGTATATAGTATTCTTAATCCAAAGAAATTCAAGGTAGGGAAAGCAAGACAGATGATGTTCTACATTTCATAAAAGGGGAAATACAGTGAGAAGTTCTGGCATACCTGGATATGGTACAGATTATATCATGAATTAAAATACACAGATGCCAAATTGCTCCATGTAAAGCAAGTTGGAGAGAAAAGGTTTCTTGCTTCATACAATATAGAACGCTTTTCCATGCCAAAAAAAAATCTGTCACTTTTTTGGGGGGGGAATGATATCAAGTAAATATTCTGCAACAGTTTTATTTTTCTTTCTTTTAACATTATTTCTCTCATATCAGGCATCTTCCCAAGTCAATTGGTGGATACCATCGAGTCCTGATACTGGATCTAATTCTTCATCCCATCTTACACTATCTTTTGCTGGTTACATGTTCTCCCACTATTTCTTTTTATATATAAATTTATATTTAAATTTATATGAAATGCTTTATAGATGGCATTTACCACCTGCTAGGTTAGCTAAAATGTTTAAAAATATGTCTACCAAATGTTGGAAATGTAATCAAAAGATGGGCACATTCATCATATGTGGTGGACTTGTGCTAAAACAAAAAAAAGTTTTGGACAAAAATACATGTCTAGAAAAGATAATAGGGAAACATGTAGATTTTAAACCTGAACTGTTTTTATTAGAGATGATATTGGAGAAATTTGATAATAAAAGTATATATTTAGTATTACATATTTTAACAGCAGCTAGGATTTTCTTCGAAACTCAAATACATTGGCCACCTAATGAGAAGGAAGGACTCACTGGAGAAGAGCCTAATCCTGGGAAAGATTGAGGGCAAAACAAGAGTGGGACAACAGAGAATGAGGTGGCTGGATGGAGTCACTGAAGCAATAGGCGTGAGCTTAAATGCACTCCAGAGGATGGTAGAGGACAGGAAGGCCTGGAGGAACATAGTCCTTGGGGTCGTGATGGGTCGGACACGACTTTGCAACTAACAACAACAAAAGGATTATCTTCGCACAGTATTCGAAAGATGAAGAAACATTGCAAGATAAAGAGATAATTAAGAAAATACTAGACTGTGGAGAAATGGATAGACTTACATTGAAAATCAAACGGAAAAAAGACACAGATTATCAAACATGGAACTTATTTTACCAGTGGTTGGAAAAAAAGGGGTGGAGAGTAAGAATGGAATCTGTATTGTTAAGCAAATTAAATACCCACGATGTTTATTAAGCACTAAGAAATGTAATTAATAAAATATTTTTTTTTTAAAAAAAAGGTCTATCTCTAATGTACAAACAAGTGAATGATGAAAAACAGAGAGATGCAACCAGGACATTGTAGAAATCATGAATGCCATAGAGTTCTGCCTAGCAGGGAGAAAAGCTATCCAGCACACTTGGGACACCTCCTTGCACGATAACTACAGTAAAGAGTTTAGAGTGTGTTTAGAGTTTATTGGATTTCTATACCGCCCTTCTCCCAGGGGACTCAGGGTGGTGTACAGCCACATGAATTTATAAAATTTAAAACCAATTAAAACAAATAATCTCCTTCTCGCACATCAGATTTCCCCTAGGGTGACTTCTCCTATGCAGAAAACATATATAGTCATAGGTTCCTGCCAACTCTACAGAGTGGAAGGAACAGAAGTGGGTTTCAGCAGGTTCTGACCAGTTCTGGAGAACTGGTAGCGGAAATTTTGAGTAGTTCGGAAAACTGGTAAATACCACCTCTGACTGGCCCCATCAATTATCTGCCTCCCGAATCCCAGGGAGGAAATGGGGATTTTGCAGTAATCTTCCCCTGGAGTGGGATGGGAATGGAGGTTTTACAGTATCCTTCTCCTGCCACGCCTACCAAGTCATGGCCACCAAGCCACGCCCACCAAGCCACACCCACAGAACGGGGTAGTAAAAAATTTTGAAACCCACCACTGGCAAGGAAGTGTAGCTACCATTCTTTCCCCTTCCTCAAATCATCGGGACTGGGGAAAAAGAGACCTATTGAGCCATTGTGCCTTTCAGCCAAGCTAGTGAGTGTGTCCAAAGATGACAGACCACCATAAGCCACTCTGATAAATTTACAAATTGACTGGAAGAATGGCTATCACAACCATAATAAACAGATGTTAGTGTGCGAAATCAGTTCTCAAGGGAAAACTGATCAAAGATAAAAGCCTTCATGACATCTCTGCTAACCAGACCCTACATCAACTTCAAAGTGAACCGGGGCGAACCGGTAGCAACCCACCACTGTGAAGTATCTACAACACCTGAAGGCAAGCTCTTCCACTTATTAATTGTTCTCACTGATAGGAAGTTTCTCTTTAATTCCAGGTTGCTTCTCTCCTTGATTAGTTTCCATCCTTTGTTTCTTGTCTTGCCTTCTGGTCCTTTGAAAAGTAAGTTGACACCCTCTTCTTTGTGGCAGCCCCTCAAATACTGGAATACTGTTATCATGTCACTTCTGGTTCTTCTTTTTTCTAGACTAACCATACCCAATTCCTGCAACCATTCTTCATATGTTTTGGTCTCCAGGCCCTTAATCATCTTGCTTTTTGTAGCTTGAAAGAAAGTTTTTTATTATTATCTGTGACATTTGTTGCAAGTCTTAGTTCATTCTGCACCTTAGTTTCCTGACTTCATTTTTGTAGATTCAGGCTATGTGCTGGTATTCTGCCTTAGTCATGTGTCCCTCTTTCCATTTTTTGTACTTATCCTTTTTGTCTTTCAGTTTATCAAGGAGATATTTGTGCAACACACTGGCTTCTTCTTGGATTTCTTGTTTTATTTTTCAGTGGTATTGTGCTGACATGGGCTTTTATGATCATAGTTTTCAGAGTTTCCCAAGTTCCTTGAGTTGTTTTTCCCTTTAAGATTTTGAACTAGGGAATCTGTCCTAGGCTCCCTCTGAGTTTGTTAAAACCATCTCTTTTAAAGTTTAAGACACTGATTGGATTATGTTTTATTGCTTGTGTTTGCCTTATATTGAATTCTAATATTATCTGGTCGATCTCACCCAAAGTTCTGTCAACATCAACCCCCTCTATCACTTATTCTGTTAGTAAGAATTAGATCCAGTATAGCTTTTCCTCTAGTTCCCTCCTCTATCTTTTGAATCACAAAGTTGTTGGCTAGGTTGGTTAGGAATCTCTTCAAACTCCCACTTGCTGCAGGGTTTGTTTCCCAGTTAATATCACTATAGTTAAAGTCTCCCTGTGGTGTGTTTCCTATATACGTTTCTTAATTGGTTAGTAAAAAGCTCATCTATTTCCTCTGCTTGGTTGGGTGGCCTGTAGTATATGCCTATAGCAATGTCATTCTTTTTTCCTTTTACCCATATGCATTCTAGAAGGTTTTCATCCTTGGTTTTGTACATTTCGTTAGAGATAAAATGAACTTTTACATGCATGTACTAATAATATCATGTACTAGAACTTCAAGTTCACTCTGCTTGTTCCCTAAACTTTGAGCATTAGTATATAGGCATTTGAGTCCTTTATGGCTGATCTTGCATACATTTCTTATATCTCCTGCTTTGTAACTTGTAACCTTCCCATCACTCTCTACTTCATTATGTGGTTGGTTATGTTGAGGTTTATGTTTGGAATTAAGTCTCAAAGATCCTAAAGATTGTCCTAGAGATCCTAAAGATTGATCAAAATCCCCTCCCCTCATTTGTAGTTCACTTTAAAGCTCTCCTGATATGTTGAGCCAGTTGTTTACCAAAAACATTCTTCCCAGTTTTTGTGAAGTGCAGCCCATCCCTTCCAGAAGCCCTTCGTGAAGGTAATGCAAACTATGGTCTAGAAATCCAAAGTTCTCTTGGTGTCACTAACCTATGAGCCAGTGGTTCATTTCTAAATTCCCTTGTTCTCTCAGTATAAGTATACAAAATAGTATACAAAAGTATAGAGGATTGGCTCCTATGCCATAGTTGGCAGTTTCCATAAATACAGCAACATAGGTACATACCAGGCTTACAGACATTAAACACTTTGTTTAGCAACTGCAGACACTTTTCATCATTCCAGTCAAACAGGATCCTGGCAAAAATGTACAAATCTGCTTCAGGAATTGGATCTTTAAAAAAATCACCTGAAATGAAATAATTAAGAAACATTTACAAATATCATCATCCTGGAAGAATACTTTGGTCTCCCTATCTACCATTTAAGGTAAAATAAGCTCATAATGTTCTGACATTGGCAGAAATCCTAGAATAAACTCCAGTTTACCTCCATGCAAAGTAATCCGCGATGCTTCTGAGAAGCCATGATACTTCTTTGATGTTTCCACTACTTCAGGGAGGTCAAAAAGGGTCACAGTACAATTTGGATAGATTGCAATCAGTTCCTTAGATAAGGCACCACAGCTTCCTTGAAAAAGGACAAAATTTTAAAAAAAAACTACTGTATTTTTTTGAGTATAAAACGCACCGGAGTATAAGACACACCTTAGTTTTTGGGAAGGAAAATAAGAAAAAAGCTGATTGGCAGGTGGATCGGCCTCCTGAAATACCCCCAATCAGCTGTTTGGAGAGGTGAATTTTAGCAACAGGTTCCTTGGTTGTGAACTCTGTGCCTTGCTTTTTTTTTTTTTTTTTTTTTTGCCTTTTTTTTTCTGCCTCTGAAAGCCTCTAAAACAGCTTCAGAAAAAAAGCCTCTGAAGCTCTGTTTGAGGGCTTCTTTTCTGAAGCTCTATTTGAGGGCTTCTTTTTTGAAGCTTCTTTTCTGATGCTTTTTTCAGCCTCACTTGAGAAGCTGAGCAGGGCTACATTCGGAGTATAAAATGCACCCAGATTTTCACTCTCTTTTTTATTCCCAAAAATACGGTATATAAAATAAAATTTTAAAATCTGTACTTCAAACAGTTTTTTGGTTTTTCTGTTTTAAGATTCTTCAGCTATCTCTGTTACTTCCAACATCAAAGTCTGCTTTCTAGTTTCCATAAAGCAATAAGCAGAAATACAAGATATAATCTAATAAATATATTATCTAAATACTTTCCTTCATTTTTGTAAAATGCTTCTCTTTAGTCTTTTTCAATGGGCTAGATAGTCAATTTTCCAAAAATCTATCCTATTAGCTATTATTTCTCTTTCCTTTTCCTGTACCTTCTTTTCATAGATACCTAAATGGTCTTTTTTCAGTGGACCCAATGAAATCTGAGCACATTTAAAATTAATCCATCCTGCTGCCACTGCTTGCAGCCCCATACAAGATTAACTTTCTTAAAGCTAATCTTTTTTTATCCTCTTAAATTACATTAGCATTCTCCCAAGCAAATTGGCTTACCTAAAATAAAAAATAACTTTTTGGTGATAATCAGCAATTGTTGTCCAGTATATGGGAATAAATAATGTAAAGGGAAGGCTATACAAAAACTCCCATACAGTTATGGTAATTCTGTGCTTCATGTTTGAGTCTCCAAGGATGAGGGTCAGCCGAAGCACTTGATCTTTACAACGAATGTACTGGCGATTGACAGTGTCTAGTAATATTACATTAACATACTGTGCACATAAATGCATTATATGTAGGGTTGCCAGGTGTCCACTATTTGAGCGGACAGTCCACTTTTTTCACATTATGTTCACTATTTTTTTTCACAAAATAGTGGACATTTTTTATTCAAAAGCTTTATGATGAAATGGTACGTAAAGCTGTACAGTCTAAGAGAATAAGGATTGGAGAATCGCGTTTTATTTTTTTTTATAAGTTAGAATGAGACAAAGATCAAATGCTCATTGCAATAATCACATTTTACACAACAGCGCAAAAAATGCATTAAAGCAGTTATCTTTTGATATCGAAAATGTAGTGCTGAAGGTTTTTGCCGAATTTTCGAATTCTGTGAAGAAATGAGAAGGGTTGAAATCATTTTTTGAGTTTTGCGAGTCAGAATTCCATGAAGTTTTGTGCCATGTTCCAACACGTTGGTTAAGTTTCTTTAAAGCGGTCGAAAGACTTCTTTTAAACTGGATACCTCTAAAATCGTATTTTATTTCTCTTGGATCTGATGAGTGCCATAAGGTTATCTGGTACCTTATTTCGGATCAGGAAAATGAACTCGCAAAGGATGATGAACCAACAATTTCAGAATTGTATTAATATTTCACGCACTTCTTCATGTCAATCATGCAAGACACCCTACTGAAGCTGGAAAGCAAGAAAATTCTTGCATGTGATCTTCACATTATCATGTGTAAGCTGCATGATTCTTTGCAAAAAAAAATACGATGAGCAGTTTTTTGGAATGAAAGTTTTATTTGCCTTACGTAAAAAACATTTGCCTGAGAATGCCGTGCAAAAGTTCAAGAAAGAAGCCATCAACGTGTATCAAAGAGCCATTGCGTACCTAGAAAAGTGGTATAATTTCACCGATTCAGTATATGAGACGCTAAGTTGTTTCAATCTAATTGATCGCAATAATCCTCCAACTTTAGAAGAAATGACGAACATCTGGTTATTATCACCATGGCGAGAAGAACTTCCACCCAACACTCTCTTCGATGAAATTTCTGCCTTAGAAGACGTTTATGTTCATCTGCAGGGCGATTCATCCCTTGATAAGTGGACGTACTTTTTCAAGAAAGAGCCAGCTCCGAGTTTACTGAAACTGTTCCAGTATTGTGCATCAATTCCGGTATCAAATGCAAACGTTGAACGAATTTTCAGCGTCATGGGAAATTTGCAGACTGACGAACGTAACCGACTGCTTGTATCAGTTCGAAGTGAACTTTGTATATTTTATAATATTTCTCAACGTTGTACTGAAATTAAAGAATTATTCCTTAAACACAAAGAATTGATCAAAGCTGCGCAGTCAAATAAAAAATACACACGACAGCAAAGTAAAATGTAATTTAATATTTTACATATTATTATAATATATTTGATGTTTTGAATTTTAAGTAAAGTTTTGAAGTGATTATTTTAATACATGTTAAAATGTTTGTTAATAAATATATAATTTAATTGTATTTTTTTTTATTTTTTTTACTACTTAAACCGCCCCCCCACTTGTCCACTATTTTTTGGAAGCAGACCTGGCAACCCTAATTATATGTGTGAATAGGCACCAGTGGTCCGATATCAGGCCTTTAAACAGTGCGTTCTGCATCCTCAAGGATGCAGTGCAAATGCAATTCTGTGTCGCTTTCTATCCTTAGCAAACTTTGTTCCAAACTTCAGATTTTTGTTATGTTTTTCCACATTCATACACTTTGATATCAATCCAGGCAAGAGGGGGGGAAACGGGGGGGGGGAGGAGGGAGGCATACAGGAATAATGCTTAGTTAAGCCCTTCAAAACTTAAAGTTGCCAATAATTGTTAGTAAATCTTTTTAAGACAGAGAAGCTCTGAAAACAGATTTGGCAAAGTAGACTTTTAATCTCTGAAGACATAGTGTTTGTGAAATAATGTAAAAGGCCAGAGAACCCACCCACCCTTCCAAATCTTCAAATGATAGAAAGTCAAATTAATAATCAAACAAAATGTCTAAGAATTTGAGATACTTACCACCTATATCATAAATGAATTCAAATTCAGAAAGATCAAATGCAGTCAGTACTTCTCTTCCATGCAAACTCCAAGCCTCATTCATACACCTGAAGATGGCTTTGATGTTTTCTTCTGACCTAGAATTGAAATTTACACAATAAACTTATATTTTAATATAGAAAAGATGTTAGAGAAAAGTTATTTCTCTATAGCTGTGCCTATTAATGGCTTTTGGAATGTACAGATGCGTGGGCCAATCAGAGGGCAGCTAATATGTTTGAATCTCCAGGGCCCTCCCCTAACTGTCACAGTTAACAGTAAAAAAGGAGATTCTTAACAGAAACCCTTGCTCTTCATTTTGGTATTCAGTTTGCTCTTCACCTTGCTGTTCAGTTTGATCTTCTGTCTAGTATTATATTGTCTTCAAGGATCTTCCGTTTATATAGCTGTGAGCAGTTTGGAAGTCCGTTAGAAGAGCAGTTCTGTGGTATATTGTGATATTTCTTCTGAGGAAGAATATTCATAGATAGCATATCTTAGAGAGATTAGATATGTATATAGATAGATAGCTGACAGTATAATTTATAATAGTAATTTAGTGATGTTTATTAATTGTATATATATTATTATGTTTTTATTGTATAAATAAAAACATTTGCTGTAGCCTGCTTCAGAGGCTCATTTGTTTAAGTAGAGTTTCATAGAGATAGAGGTTCACGGTTTATTGATTTATTTACCTCCACAACAAAAGAGCACCTCTATACCAATGTAATCTGTAATTTACTAAGAAGAATCCAAAGATTATAGAGCCTTGATGTTCTACATCAACTTCAAAAAATTAATATTTGATATTAACTTTTTTGATATTAACTTGGTAATATGTGATAAGGGAAATCAATTCTATTTCACTAGACTACCAAAAACAAAAGCAGTCTCTATGCTAGCTCTCATTGCAGATTTCACATGTTCAGATTAAAAACCAGTTAGACTGTGTCATGAAATGATGCTTGCACACAGATTTCACACTTTCTTATAATCCACATCCCTGGGAGTAAGAGATGTCTGTCGGTCAACTACAGCAGTGGCCACCAACCTTTTGGGCACCAGGGACTAGTTCCATGAAGAAATGTTTTTCCACAGACTGGAGGGGGCATGGTTTTGCATGCTGCCTGCATCCTGCAGATGGGGCTTCGCTTGTTTGCACGGCTTGATTGCTGGCTTGGTTGCTGCCATGGACTGGGGGTTGGGGACACCTGACCTACAGGGTCAGATTAGCCCAGTCTCATATTGATATAGAAAAAAATGTTTTCATTAAAAAGGAATTGGGGAAAGAAGAAGAGAGAGAGACTGGTAAACAATACTTAATTATTTCCAGCAGTCTCTGAATTCTGGAAATCTTCAAGAAGCTGGAAACATCCAGGAAAGTGAAACAGATTCATTTGCTTCAGGAAACCTTTATTTATGCACATAGAATTTGTGCTATGGAGGAATTTGCACTAAATATTTTACTTCTGTTTTATGATTGGTTGCACAGTAAGCCAGATGTTTAGAGGTTTAATGTTATTATTTATTTATTTAAATGTATTGGGCACTCCTCTCCAGAGGACATTGGGTAGCAAGAATAATGTTTATTTTTTTTCTTTTGATAAGTCTTATGTTGGCTGCCGATTTGCTTCCAGGTGCAATTCAAGGTGTTGGTTGTCACCTTTAGAGCTCTTCATGGCTTAGGACCAGATTATCTGAGGGACTGTTCTCTTGCTGGTCACATCTACCCAATCCATCAGAGCGGGAAGGCAGGGAATGTTGCAGGTCCCATCCCCTAGGGAGTTATACCTGGTGGGACCCAGAGGAAGGGCCTTCTCCGTAGTGGCTCCCTCTCTCTGGAACATCATTACCTCAGAGATTAGAATGGCCCCCAGTCTGGAAGGAACTGAAGACCTGGTTCTGCCAGCGGGCATGGGGAATCCAATGCAGGATGGAGCCCATTAAATGGCTTGTGTGATGTGCTGTCACTGGGGGGGGGGGGGAAGTGTTAAGGGGTTATTATATTATCATATCATATATATCATGTTGCAGGTCCCATCCACTAGGGAGATACACCTGGTGGGACCCAGAGGAAGGGCCTTCTCCGTAGTGGCTCCCTCTCTCTGGAACATCATTACCTCAGAGATTAGAATGGCCCCCAGTCTGGAAGGAACTGAAGACCTGGTTCTGCCAGCGGGCATGGGGAATCCAATGCAGGATGGAGCCCATTAAATGGCTTGTGTGATGTGCTGTCACTGGGGGGGGGGAGTGTTAAGGGGTTATTATATTATCATATCATATATATCATATATATCATATCATATATCATCATATATTATATATTTTTTTATTCATGTCATTGTTTTGAATGAGGTTTTATATTCTGTAAGGCACCTTGAGTCACCATGTGCAAATAGGCAGCAATATAAATTCAATAAATAAATAAATAAATAAATAAATAAATAAATAAATAAATAATTTTAACTTGGAAGTCATCAGAGAGAAAACATGAAATGTGGCAGACATATCTATCTTGCATACAGGCATTAGAACAACAGTAAGAAACCCTTTGGAAGTCAGATAGTGCCAGCAAGAACTACCAAACCACTATCCTAAGGCAAGAGGTGACACCAAACTGGAAAAATCAGACAGCTTCTTGGGGCTTCTAGTTTTTCATACTTATATGTATCTCTAGCTTCAGATCCCATATGTCCATATTACAAAGGAATTCTTAGACAGTTATAGTACCCAAGTTACATCACAAAGAGGTTGAAGAGAGAAGACGAAAACAAAAAGAAATCATTGGTAGTGTTAATCATTTTTCACAAAGTTGGACAAGGAAGATTTGATAGACATATGTATTGATTGCCCATTCTTTGGAAAATAAAACATTGAGAAATATTAGATTTACCGGTAAAAAGCCTCAAATACATTGTTTGAGGAAACCCCAGTTATTGATGAAATCTGATTCTTTCCTTCCCTGAAAAGATATTTTAGAAGCAAATGGTTAGGCAGCACAAGTTAAGTAACTATCACATTCTTTTTCCCCCATCATCAAATACTGAGTATATTATGCAGGTCCCTGTATTATTTTCAAAAGTCATTTCAAATGGCTTAGTCTCTAAATGGTTTATCACTTGAAGCTGAAATATTTTGCAATGCAATCCTATAAACAGCTAAACAGAAATTACTTTTGCAGTACAGTACAATCCTATACACATCTAATCAGAAATCAGTTTCATTTATTTTTTAAAAAAAAGTACCTATACCTATATAATATTTAAAATGGAAAAAATATTTTATTCAAGACAGCATTCTTTTTTTATTCTTTATCCTTATTGTTTTATCTTTCAGTGAATAATATTTTTCAATTGATTATTTCTACTAAATTGATTTAAAAGTTTGTTCAAGAGAAAAAAAAGTACTCTTATTTTCACTGTTTACTGTTTCTTGAAATAAAGCCAATCTCTGATCTAAAAGTTTAGATTGGTACACAAGGGCTTCACAAGGCTCTTCCCCCAAGGAGGTACTCTGCCTGAGGAACTCTGATTCAGAGTTTAACTGAATCTCTGCATCAAAACAAATTGAAAAACTCAAATGATTTCAGGCAATTTTAATCAGCTTTTTAGATATGTAAAGATGTGCTTTTTCACATTAATTTAGAAAGCCAAACTGCATCAAACCACAGAATGGGACAACTCGCCATGGCCAACTCACTGCGGCCAAGTGACCTCAGGCAACTCACTGTGGGGCAATTCAACAAATACAAAAGTTACATTAATTTTGATCGAACCATGGCCAATAATAATAAAATAAGAAAAGTCAATCCAGAAATACAAGAGTTACAATAATTTTGACAAAAAAGTTGTCACTAATAATAAAAATAACTGAATGAAACGATTAATACAGTGTTGAATTTTCCCATGGTGAGTTGTTCCATGGCGAGTTGGCCATGCTGAGTTGGCAGCAATAAGTTGTCCTAGACCCTCAGATCAATTTTCAGAAGAAGTGTGATTTCAATTGGATCAACCCTAATAATCCCATCCCTACTTCTGTCTGTTTCTTTCTTTGTATGATTGACTTTTTCTACAGTAAACAACTAATATATATATATATATATATTTGCAACAATGAATTGAAGTATAAGCAATAGTATAACATATGAATAAATGAATAAGTTAATATTTTAGCAACACTGAATTGAAGGTTAAGCAATAGTATAACACATGAATAAATGAATAAGTTAATATTTTAGCAAATATGCATGGGTACTTACAAATAATTTTATTTCTTCATTCTTTTTACTTGGAAATTTTATTGCATTTTCATGTTCTCTTAACCTTTTTATTTCAGTTTATGTTTTAAGTCTTAAATCTTTTAAAAGTAATCTTGAGAATGCAGGATAATGAAAAATGCTATTTTGTGGTTGTGTTCGAATATGATTAAAGTAATTGGACAATTCTTTTTAAAGGAATGCAAAAACTAGAAGAACATGAAGACTGGAGTGGAAATGAATGATGAGAGGAGTTTCATTGTTTCATTTCCTAAAGATGGATTTCTTTAATTTGCAAAGAACAATAGAAAAGACATAGTATACTTATGCTGAATGACAATGATGTCTCTACATATTGTAACAACTAAAATATGACAATGACACATTAAGTAGCATGGGGAGAGAAAAAATTGATTTTGAAAAAGAGCAAATTGTTTTTATCTATATGCTTTTGTATGATATTTATTTTAAAAAATTAATTAATCTTCCTACCTCACTGCGTCAGGCAAGTATTTCATTCCTGGGTAGACAATATCAGAGAAGAACTTCAGGGTATAATATTGAGACTTTGGACTTGATTTTGCCAGGTAGAGATTGGCAAATTCTGTATTTTCATAAAGACCTTAAAATGAAGGGAAACAGAAAGAAGTATTAAGATTATTGCTAACACAAAAAAGAAAATTTAAAACTATATTACTCTATATACTATTTCTTATATTTTGAATAAAAACAAATACAATGGGTTATTAAACATGATTGTTAATGCTTCTGAATGTTGGTGTTGGCGAATACATCTGAGAATATTATAGACAGCCAAGAAAACAAATTGATCATTGAACAAACCAACCCAGAATTTTCACATAAAGATCAAATGATCAAGCTTAAATTTTACTACTTTGGACACATTATTAGAAGACTCTAATGCTGGGAAAGGTGGAAGGAAAGAGAAGATGACCAGCAGCAAGATGGATGGACTCAGTTACAGTGTCAATGGGTAATGGGCATTGGAAAATTTGCAGATTTTCTCCCTGAAGAAAATCTATGTTTGTGGTCTTCAATGATTTATGGCATGTAATCAATCACCCAAAATGTTTCAAATGACTTCAATCATGCTTTCTATCATAAAATCTCAAAAATATCTTAAAGTATCACACTTTTAAAAAACAATAATAGGACATCATAAAGGCCAAGTCATTCTTAACTAGTACAAATGGATTATTGGGACTTGTAACTACATATAACAGAATAAATTTGTGGACAAAACTAAATCGCTATGTAGAAACAATGAAGCACGTTTAGAATAAATTAATGAAGGCTGAAAAAAACTTAACTCAAAACTTCTATCCAAAATAACCATTGGAGGAAATAAAGTGCTTGAAATACAGTTCGGCATAGTATGGATATGAATTGAATGGTATAGACTGGTTATAGTAAACCACATGTGTAGAAGTGACAGGCTACAACATTTTATGTGACACGCCAGCATTCACCAGTTTCTGGCAACATGTATTCTTGAAAGCATGCCCTTGTTGTGGCTCCGTTGCCTGAGCCTGGGCTATCGACAGATGCAGACTCTGAGAGTGAGGGAGAGGAGTTGGCAAGGCCTCCCTCTCCAGGACCCTCCTCTCAGGCAATGCCTCCGGAGGACACTGAAGGCCAAACGATAGGCTCAGAGCCAAGCACATCCCCGCAGCCACAGGTGGACAGCGATGAAGAAGATAAGTGCTGGCTGGACCCGCGACAGAGGCGCAGGGAGAAGCGTGCACAGCAGAAGGGAAGGCGTGCCAGAGATTAGCTGAGTCACTGGACCACACCCCACAGGGTATAAATGTGGGTGTGGTGGCCAGTTCAGTTTGTGACAAGCAAAAACTGGAAATACTCCATGATCTCTGTGTTACTGAACTTTGTCTGCTTTATCGGACTGCATTTGGATTCATCCTTGTATTGTTGACACTCTGCCTGTTTTATCGGAATGCTGGCAGTCTAATCTTTGTTTTGTGTGAGTAAAGTCTGAATTGGCAGCTAGCCACTGGGTTGCTGCCAGCTTTATCTTCAAAGAGTTTTATCGTGTGGCTTATTAATTCCGGGCCGTCTGTTGGGGTGCGTGTAGGGTACGGGGACAGAACAGCCCTGGCTGTGAAATCTGCATGCAAATGGGGTGTGCTTTTGCTCAGTGTTTAGAAATTGCACAGGAGTTGTTTTTGCAAGGCATCCAAACCCTCCAAAACCTATGTGAGAACAGGATGTGATTTTCTACGGTGTTTGGAGGTTGAATAGGCCATGCACATGCAGTGACCAAAGCTGCTTACAAATGAAGGCCTCGTGCAACCCGCAGCAGCCTGTCTGCAAAAAACAAAACAAAAAATACTGCTGGAAAGTAAGCCTGAGGATAAGAAGCATCAGGCTTGCGCATCCGGGGGAACAGAATTTTGAGTAGCAATGAGGCTAAGGGCTGAAGTCGAGCTCTTGGCCCGGGCCTCAACTTCAGGCCCAGCCTTGGAGCTGCCATCTAGTGCTGCTCTTCAGAGTAACATAGATTGGCAGCTGGGGGGGAGGGAGAGAGAGAGAATTGTTTCTCTTTTTTTGGGAGTGGGTGTGTGACACAACAACCCCAAAGGATTTGCCATCTGTGGTATAGATTAATATGTAATAATTATAAAGAATTTGGGGCACTTTTGATTCCAACTTAGTTACCTCTGTCGTCCTTTCGTTCCATTTTCAGAAGATTTAAAGTTACGCAACAGTTCAGCAGCATCTCCATTCCAGTGAGACTGGTGTTTAAACGTTCAGCAATAATCGCAGAGGAGAGAGATTCACCTGACTCTCTCAGCAAGTCAAATATTCCAAATTCACAGGAAGTAAATATTATCTGAAAAGAAATGGAGAGATGTACCAACAGCAGAAAGTTTGAGAAAGGATGATCTTCCTTTAATTATTTAATTTTGTCTCCTCCAAAATATCTGAATAGCTTATGAACAAGGCTGAGTGAAAGTCAATAATTATAAAACATTTACAAAGGAAGAGAGACTGTTTTAATTAGATGTGTTTTTTCTTAGCTAGAAACCCTCTTCAGGATAGAGAATGCATGCCTTTTCCAGTCCTGCCCCTTCGTAATGTCCACTTGCTCATCTAGGAGATCTGCAAGAAGAAGTCTGACTCTCTTGAACATAAGTGCAGCTTCCTATGTAATTTGGGATACAGGTAATCCTCAAGTTACCATAACTTAGTGACCGATGTTACGTCATAACCCCCCCCCTTTGGGACACAGTCCCAAAGTTATGAACGTTGCAGCACTATGGCAGCTATTCACACTTATGAGTGACCACAGAAGCACTGCAATGTTTGCCCTGCCTACTCCCCCTCCCCCCTGGATCTTCACAGGAACTGGGCCTCTGGAGACTCACTTACCTTGCAACCAGGGCAGGGGTGAAATGCTCCCAGGTCGGATTGGCTCGGTGAGTAGGTAGCAATGATGGCGGGCAGTTCGGAGAACCGGTAGCAAAAATCCCTCCCCCACCCCACCCCCCAGCCTCCAGCTTGCTTACCTTACCTTCGCTCTTCGGACCGAATCCTGAGTGCTGGTCACAACACCTGCCTTGCTTCGCTTGCTGTAATCCCTGAAATCCATTGCATCAGCAAGCAACTGAATCTCCCTGACTGCAATCAAGCTCATCGGTGAGCAGCTCTGCCTGCCTGCCTGCCTGCCTTGTCCCTTCAATTGGATAAGTTTTTTTCCCCTTTGGGAGCTTTAAAAAAATAGTTTATTGGGTGGTTTTTTAGTTGTTCTTTTTTTAGACCTAGCCATTTAAAGTTTAGGAAGTTTTAAATTTAGCTGCTTTTATATAAAAATTAAAATTAAAACAAAATAAAATAATATTTGTGCAGCTTTCTGAGATTTAGTGTGTTTCTGTAATGTTTCACTCTAACTACACAAACACACAAAAACTCACTGTATGTGGAATTTTGTGTGTGTAAAGTATGAAAGTTGGTTTTTTTGGACTTTTTGTGACTGTGTGAGGTTCCTGCTTGTTGCAGGGGCCATTTTGGGTCTAGCACAGCTGCTTTTACATTGTGGGTGAGCCAGTTGTGTTGTGTTGTGTTGTGTGTGTGTAAAGTGTGAAAGTTGGTTTTTGGGGCTTTTTGTGGCTGTGTGAGGTTCCTGTTTGTTGCAGGGGCCATTTTGGGTCTAGCACAGCTGCTTTTACATTGTGGGTGAGCCAGTTGTGTTGTGTGTGGGTAAAGTGTGAAAGTTGGTTTTTTGGGCTTTTTGTGGCTGTGTGAGGTTCCTGTTTGTTGCAGGGGCCATTTTGGGTCTAGCACAGCTGCTTTTACATTGTGGGTGAGCCAGTTGTGTTGTGTGTGGGTAAAGTGTGAAAGTTGGTTTTCTGGGCTTTTTGTGGCTGTGTGAGGTTCCTGCTTGTTGCAGGGGCCATTTTGGGTCTAGCACAACTGCTTTTACATTGTGGGTGAGCCAGTTGTGTTGTGTTGTGTTTTGTAGGTTAAAAAAGGGCAAAGAAGTAAGGTTGACTTGGCCACGCCCACCTGACCAACAAGCCACGCCCACCCAGTCACCTGACCAACAAGCCACGCCCACTAATTAAGCCCCGTCCACAGAACCGGTAGCAAAAAATTGAGCAAGTTCTGACAGGTTCTGGAGAACCGGCAGCAGAAATTTTGAGTACTTCAGAGAACCGGCAACGGAAATTTTGAGAGGTTTGAAGAACTGGCAAATACCACCTCTGGCTGGGGTGGGAATGGAGATTTTGCAGTATTCTTCCCCTGCCACGCCCACCAAGCCACACCACGCCCACCAAGCTACACCCACAGAACCGGTAGTAAAAAAATTTGGATTTCACCATTGCTTGCAACGATCTAGTGAACCATCAGTTCCTTTGCATTCACAGAGAACAGAGGGCTAAAGTAGTATGAGATCACACAAGATCAGTAATGCGAGATCTCATGCTACTGATCTCCCAGTCTTCTCTCCATTTGCAAAGCTTTTGTCTGCAGATCTTGCAGTAGTGTAGTACTGCAGTAAAGTACTGTAGTGCAAGATCACACGAGATCAATAGCTTTTTGCAGCAAGACTGGAATCCTCTGGGGGCTGTAATCTCACACCAGATCACAGCCCTTAGAAGCTTCCAGTTTTGGCACAAAAAGCATTTGCAAGCTGATGTGTCATGCCCCCAATGGAGCCTGAACCTGGGGGGGGAAGATGAGCTGGAACCTGAGCTGACAGAGTTTGAGGGGGCAGCTTCGCTGGCTGCAGAGGAAAATGGGGAAAGGCAGGACCAGTCAGATCAAGGCATTTCAGGATTAGAACAGCTTGTACACAGGGAGGAACAGGGGCAAGATGAACATGAGAGACAGAGCTCAGGCGATGAACAAGGACTACCCCTCCTGATCCAAGAGCACAGAGAGTGGAGAGAAGGCAAGAACAGCACAGACTGAACAGGCTACTCGGGAGAAGAGTGCCTTGCCATCTTCACAATGAACACCTGAGGAATGAGGCTAAAGACGAGATGCTGTGGGCATTTGTCAGAAACAAACTTTGAGTTCCTGAAGTGTTGAGTGCCAATGTTTGAACTTTCCAAGAGTACTTGCATTCTTTCTGGCTTTCCTGACTAATTACCTGGATCCTTTGCTTCCTGAACTCCTTGATTTGCCCTGCTGGATTTATTGCTATGCAGCCTTAGTGTACACAGCTCTGGGCTGGAATATTTGTAGCCAGAAGCTGCTTGAGGTACATGTGGGTATTTGTCATCACTTTGCTCTGGGACTTGCCAGAAATGTGGGAGCCTTTGAGAAAATTTGGAGCAATAAAGGGACAGTTTGAACTGGTAGCTGCTTCTGAAATACCTCATGTACACTTAACAACCTGCATGTTCGATTAGCAAATGTGTGGGCAAAAGCAGGGAGTGATCATGTTTATTTGACATGATTTACTCCAAAGAATTCTTGGGTTACAAATGTAATTGTCAGGCTCCATTACATTCATAACTCAAGGATTACCTGTATTCTTTTTTTTAGTGCCAGATCACACAGAGAACTGCATTCATGTTCAAGAAAATATTAGGACACCATTCCTTTTGACTTCACAGGTGAATGCAGAGAGTAGAGGGAATAAACAGCTCAATTCTTTGATCTCTTAAAATTCCTCACAAGTAATCCCTAAAGAGAGCTACAAGATCTGTTGTGATAGAAGCTACTGACAGAATTGTGGTCAGAAGACACCATTACTCTATTTGGATAATAATTGAATTACTGATTGCTGATTAGATTTGACATACCTTTCATCCATGGGTGCCCATTGCTCCCTAATCCTTCAGTCCCTGATACGTTCTAGAAACCATGATAATTTATGGCAACCAGCTTTATTTGTAGCTGTTGAGCAATTGGTAAAAGGGCAGGTACAGCATCTTTTTTCATCTAGCAGCTATGTTTCTTTCTTTAAAAAATCATAACTGAGTTTTTATGGACTAAATCTAACGGTGTAGTGGGTCACCAAAAAGAAAAGATAGAGGAAAAATGTTTATTGCAGGCTCTGAACAGATTTCTTTTGTTCAAAAAATAGAAAAGCCATTGCCCAAAATTAAAGTTTTTACCATCAAATTTTAAAACACAATCTGTGGTAAAGTACTGTGAGATTTTATAATAAATGTAACATAATCTCTTTATTTGTCATGTTCCAATCTGATTTCCTTCAACTGCAAATTGGGTAGCCTTATAAACTGCTCTAATAAATAATAAATAAATAATAAACAAAAAGCTTTCCAAAGCAGAATGAGAAAAAAGAATGATCTTCTTTTGATGAGAATGAAAAAACTGATACAGAAAGTTCAGCAAAATCTTTTGTACTTTAAGTAAAATAATTTTAGTGGAGCATAAACTGCATGATTTTTTTTCATATCCATAAGACTCTGAAGAAATAAAGTTGTACATTTTAATGCCATATTTACTGTTTTCACCCTACCTTTGTAACCATAAATGAATGTTGATGCTGAAATAATATTTTAATATTTTCTTTTTCCTCTGGTGAAGCCATTGTTCTTCACTTCTCTGTCAAACACACAAGAAAATTATTTCATTCACTCATATTTCTATACCATTGCAATCTAAAGAAATTCCAATTGATTACAGTATCAAACACAAAAAAGTACATAATAAATTCATCAGCCCATTTCAGTGTCTCTAGTTATACAATAGATAAATAATCTGACAACGTTTATCTACTAAACTTCCAACTTTTCAGCCCATTTGGACCACCTTCTTAAAAACCAGCAGGGGAAGCCCCACCTAGATATCCAGGGGAATCTGTTCCACAGGTATGGAGAGTGGAGACATAACAGAAAATCATTGGCTCCTGGCTCTTCCTGCCCCACAATCCCACATTTCACATAGGGAGAGCACCTTCAACATCCCAACCTGTGACAGGTTTTACTGAAGTAGCACTCCCTCTAATGACTTTGCTCAGAAGCACCCTATGCAGTAAGCTTTTGATGAATAAAGGGTGATTAATCAAAGTCACCCAGTGAACTTTCTTCACTGAATATGAATCTCACCAGTAACAGTTCCATTACAACATATTAACGACCAAGCCCCTCAACTACATGAACCATGCCAGTACCCTACTATTTTCCATAGACCCTTTTCAGTTCTGCCTGCTCCACTTAGCATATTGTCACCGTACTGATTTATCATACCTTTCTCTTCTGTCTTTCAAATTCCAGGGAAGAATTGGGAGTTTCTTCCTAGAAACATGCTTTTGTAGTCTCTGTTGCTTGTTAAACTGTGGTTAAAATATGCACACTCCCTACCTTCAGAAGTGGATGGGGTGCATTTTTTAAATGATTTTGAGGCAAGGGACAAAAACAATTTACTACATTTTTCCCCCTTGAGATGAGGAAATGGGAAGTGAAAAGAGGAGATAGCTATCTTCTCAGTTTCTCCTTGAAAGAATTTATGACTTTGATACATTGCTTATACAGATAACACACAAAAACCATTTTCTTTGGAGTGATTTGTTATTGCACAATGAACTCTATACATGAGAAAGCAGACCTTTACCTTCCTTTGCTAATATGTCACTCCAACTCAAGGTCCAAAATCAGCCAGATAGATACCCTTCTTATGATGCATCATTTCTGATATTCTTTCTATTGTTCATTTGAAGGAAATAATTTCCAGCCTTTGTTGGTTGAATTTTTTTTTTTTTTTTTTTTTTGGTAATGACTCTTTCTTCTCTTGTAAACATAAGCACAAAGCTTATGTGGCATAACATAGAAGAGCAAGAAGAGCAAACTCAAGTATCTGGTCTTTCCATATGTAACAACTTATTTCTTAGAAAAATGAACTGTCACATTCCAGTAGGAAACAATGAATATATTATTAAATGGGATCTTCTGATCTCATCTTATCAACTACTATCTGATCTTGGTGTTTTTTAGAAAGAAACTAGCTAGATTTCTCGAAGAACAATTGCAAAACCTTAGAAAGTCACCTTCTGCTTTATCTCCTTGGCAGACATAGTCCATTCTCACATGGACATTCTCAACATTCTCACATTCTCAACGCTATTTATAAACACGGAAATATCAGTGGAATAATGCTTTCCTTGTATATTAAAGACAATACTGGGTTTTTATCTGTTTCCATTTATGTATAGACATATTGATATACCAGCAGGATGCCTGCTTTTATATAGGAATTATAACCCACTTCTGTCTATTGATTAAGTAACATACAAAAGTAAAAGTCCTAGCTGGTATAAGATGAAAATAAAATAGTAGTTTACAGTAATATACAGTAATGCAAATTAATGGCTGATTATAGTTAAAAACTGCAATTAAATCCTTGCTAACATTCCTGTCAATCCCAATGATGATGTGGAACAGATAAGTTTTACAAGTTTCAGGAAGCAACGTAATTTGTTTCAAGGACCAATTGCTCTAGAGCCGTGATGGCAAAACTATGGCAGGTGTGGCAGAGGTGGCACACAGTGCCCTCTCTGATGGCACACGAGCTGTCACCCCAGTTCAGTTCAGCTCTGCTGTGCATGCATGCTTGCCTCCTGCTGGCCAGCTGGTCTTCGTGTCTCTGCAGCGCATGCACGGGGGGAAGGGCACATGTGGGGGACATGTGCGCATGCACGGGGGGCAAGGTGCTGCGGGAAGCCATGCACACAAGCGTGAGGATGCATGCGCCGGGGTGCGCACGCATGCGCAGGGGCGTGGGGTGTGCCAGGGGGGCATACATGTACGGGGGCGGGATGCATGTGCAGGGGACACATGTGCATTGCATGTTGGAGGTTCGGGCGTGCACGCGCTTTAGGCGCTCAGTCCAGAAAAGGTTAGCCATCACTGCTCTAGAGAAAGGTAGCCCCACAGAGAACTCTGTATTAACATCTTGATTCTTCCTAATTTCAAGCAACAACAGCGACGATCCAAAAATAGGTAAATAATCTATTAATGTGGATTGAAAGAAGTCTATTCAGAAAATACAATGGCACTTTAACAATTATCACTTTTACTGGAACATATACTTTAGCCTTCAATTATTTAACCTCTGTAAAAAGCCAAAGAGTGGAATATTTTTGTCAGTTTTAATATTTAACTCATTATTTGAAAGGGTTACATGTTTTACCTTTGAAATTATAAATGAATGTTGGTGATGAAACAACATTTTAATATTTTCTATTTTTTCATGTGAAGTTATAAAATGCACAGGCAGTTTTTGAACAAGCTCAGTTATGTTTCCTGAATACAGAAATTACCAACAAAGGAGTACTTTTTTTTTTTTTTGCTTTAATTTATATGCCACCCTTCTCCGGAGACTCAGGGCGGCTTACAATGCGTTAAGCAATAGCCTTCATACTTTTGTATATTTATACAAAGTCAGCTTATTGCCCCCACAGTCTGGGTCTTCATTTCACCTACCTTTGAAAGGATGGAAGGCTGAGTCAACCTTGAGCCTGGTGAGATTTGAACTTGCAGTAATTGCAAGCAGCAGATGTTAATCTGTTAATAACAGTGCTTTAGTCCACTGTACTACAGGCTCTGTACTTGATACAGTAGCCCAGTCAGGAAATCAAAGTTGGGGAGATCTCTAAAGCCATCCAGCGGCAGAGGTGGGTTTCAGCAGGTTCTGACCAGTTCTGGAGAACCGGTAGCAGAAATTTTGAGTAATTCGGCAAACCAGTAGTAAAAATTCTGACTGGCCCCGCCCCCGCCTTCGCCCCACCCCCATCTATTCTCTGCCTTCCAAGTCCCAGCTGATTGGGAGGAAATGGGGATTTTGCAGTATCCTTCCCCTGGAGTGGGGTGGGAATGGAGATTTTACAGTATCCTTCCCCTGCCATGCCACCAAGCCATGCCCACCAAGCCATGCCACGCCCACCAAGCCAAACCCACAGAACCAGTAGTAAAAAAATTTGAAACCCACCACTGTCCAGAGATACTCATTTTGATTAACAGAAGAAAGGGAGGAGAGGAGAGGAGAGGAGAGGAGAGGAGAGGAGAGGAGAGGAATGAAGAAGAGAAGAGAAGAGAAGAGAAGAGAAGAGAAGAGAAGAGAAGAGAAGAGAAGAGAAGAGAAGAGAAGAGAAGAGAAGAGAAGAGAAGAGAAGAGGGCTTCTTGGCTTTAATTTAACATACAGTAGTGAAAATTACTTCATTTACAGAAACAATAGTACAGGAAATATATTTACAATATTTTTCCATCCAAATTTATCTGATCCAATTTCAATCACTTGTTACAGTAATAACCCTGTATATTGGGTTTCTCTTTAGACCAGACTGGAGCACTCCCAAAATAGGCAGTTTTGGTAGACTTCCAATTAATTATTAATTAATATTTAATTTCATTAATATTTCAATTTTCCCCAGAGACAAGGCAAGCAGGCACTCTCCTGCCCTTCCAGAAATAAGTGAAGACGTGGCTCTGCTGACTCACTTGGGACTCACAGAAATGCAAACAGGCTATTGCTTTGAAGGCCCTCCCCATATTTTAACTCTGAATTTTAAATCATTTATTCATGTTTTAACCTGCTTTGTATTATAATACACTGTTTTTATGTCTTATTTGTACAATGCCAAGAGTCGCTCTGTAAGATGAGCAGTTTCTAAATGTGATAAATAAAACAAATAAATAACCATAGCCAAACTAACTCTGGCAATTATCTGCTTCACAACACTGAAGATTTTTTTACCCTGTTATTCTGATACTACCCAAGGGCAGTTTTAATGAGCATAGTTCTATTGGGCTTTTGGGAGATGCAGTGGCTCAAAATGGAGGCAATAAAAGTAAGATAAGCATCATCAATAAAACAGCAGATTTTGTACTGATATAGTTTACTGCCAGCTCAAAAATGGGTGGAGAACAGTTCCACTTGTAGCATGTTCCAGGCAGCCCCTTTCAAATCTGTGTTGTAAGTAAGGAAGAAAATAGAAAACAAAGCTCCAGAAGAGAGAAGAAATTACTGAGAGGGAAAAGATGGAAGGAACTTTGAAGATATGCTCTGGAAGTTGCAAGCAGAAACAAGCCGAGAGAGCCTGAATTAGGATTCTTCGGATAAATCAGGTTGTCTGAATTTAGGCAAAAGGGCAAAAATGAATAAGACTTGCAGACTTGTGTTCTCATGTGATTGATAGAGGTAGGGGGATTGCCACCAATTAACAGCCCATCTAAGAGCTGCCCCCAAGGTGAGATGGACGGTAAACAATTTAACAAATTGTTAAACAAATAAATGTATTAAACAAACAAATAAATAAGAAAGACCTCCCATTGTCCAGATCCTCAGCCATATTAAATGTGATCTCAGATGTGGAGCTAAGACTGCTATGTTGGAAAGTCACTTACAAAGATTTGTTTGTTTGTTATTTGTTAAATTTATTTGCCACCTATCTTGCTGTGGGATGCAGGAGAAACATTTTCATGCATTAATGGAAAGTAGATAAACAAGATTTCCAATAGTATAATATAGTGAATTGCTTCTTCCAAGCACAGACATTGACATATTTATTTCTTTGTTTAAAGTGACATACATGGCAGTCAATTTGGTCCATAACAACCTACTGAAAAATTCCTAAACTCCTAAATACAATTCCAGGAACTCCTGAAGGTGAAGACTAGTGAAAGAATTTGTAGAAATTAATTATCTCCAATGGCATCAATAGTCATCCACGCATAGCATGTATAAGAAGAGTAGAGTATACATAGTAGCATACAGGATGGCATTGCCATGCAGTGGATGATTCTATGAAATTGCCATGATGCCAAGATCAATTAAGTCCTGTAGCTGTATTGGAGTGCAGCTGGAAATTATAAGGCAACAGAAATCCCTAATGCCAATGTGTAGTTCTAGAGGCCTAAATTGCACTTGATTTCTGATAGTCACAACCTTGGAACAAAACTTGGGGATTTGTATTGTATTTCAATCTGCAAGCAAGATTTGGGGAATTGTAGAGAGCAATGGACTGGCCTTGAAAAGAATATTCAGACACTGTTTCAGAAACACCAAGACCAGAAGCATTCCTTCAGCCCTGGGAAATGAGATGGTCTGACTCTTCCTTGATGAAATGGGCCATTGGAAAGAGAAGGTAAAATATAAACATTCTTGCAAGATTCTGACACTATAATGAAAAGTAAATCTCATGTTCCTATGGAATCGGTTGTCTGGTCTAGTCTAATTTGTAAATCTGACAAGCATGTAAGCACCTTCCCCCCACCCCAAAGTGCTGTATTTTACTGTTTCTTACAACTGAGGCCTAGTAGGCATTCTAACACCAACTAACCAGATGATCCACATTATAGACTTTTGAGTAATGATATAACCTGTCTTGGGCAACAGGTAGACCCTGGCAGAATTTCAAACTCTCAAGACTCTTTTCAACTTAAATTACTTTATTCAAGGGTGGTTATTTATAGTAGAGGAATACATCAAAGTAAGGCTAATAGATAGATAGATAGATAGATCTATCACAATACAATTTGTATAATAAATAATTACATCTATAGACAGAGGTTGTGGGGCCAGTGCGATGTGCAGTAAGTTCACATGGTAAGAAAGATTGTGTGTTTGTTAGTAGGATTCACTGTGTTAGGGATTTTCTGTCTTTCACTGTGAGTTGTATTAGGTTGTGGGGTTGCACGGAGGGAGGCTCAGGCAATCTCATTGTACACTCTGACAATAAAGATGTGAATTGAATTGAATTGAATTGAACTGACATTAGAATCACTGCAATAGTAAAAGCAATTTTATTGTTGTAATTTTTTTAACAGTCAGTAGGAAGGAAAAATGTTGAATATTATTTTCTGGCCAAAATGACATCAAAGACATTTCCTTTCTTAGACTGAATATCTTTAAAGCCAGCTGTGTTGAGGAGCCTACAATGTTCAGATGTTTTCCGTGCTTTTCCTTCAGAATGAAGCAACGTTATGATGCAGTACACATGAGCAGGAAAAGACCCAAATATTTCTTCATCAATAGTTGGTTCCACTACTAAGACTCCACCACCTGTTGCAAAAGTAATTTATTAACTCAGGAATAGGTTGCCTAGAACAGAAGTGAGTCCTTCATCTCATTTTTATACCTATGGCTGTGCACTTTCTCCCACTGAATTTTGATTACATGACTGGGAATGCTGTTGTAAGTGCAAAAAACTGTCGTAAGTCATTTTTTTCAGTGGTGTTGTAACTTCAAACGGTGACAAAATGAATGGTTGCAAGTTGAGGCCTACCTATATTCATCTGTTACAAAAACATCAAGAACAGAAGCATCCCTTCAGCCTTGGGAAATGAGACTTGGTCTGATTTCTCCTTGATGAAATGGGGCATTAGAGCAGGGGTCTCCAACCCTGGCAACTTTAAGCCTGGCGGACTTCAAAGCTGGCTGGGGAATTCTGAGAGTTGAAGTCCGCCAGGCTTAAAGTTGCCAAGATTGGAGACCCCTGCATTAGAGAGAGAAGGTAAAACACCAACAGTCTTGTAAGATTCTTTTACTGTAATAAAAAGTAATTCTCATGTGCCTATGGAATCAGTTTTCTGATCTGGTCTACCTTGTAGGTCTGACAAACATACATGGAATCTGCTGTGAAATTCCTACCTTCCTTCAAAGTACATACAAAGTAGGGCTAGTAGGTAGATAATAGGGTTACTATAGTAAATTGATACATCTATAGACTCGCAGGTTAGAATCAATAGTAAAAGCAATTTTATTATTGGAATTTTATTTTAACCCTTAGTAGGAATAAAGCAAGCTGAATATTATTTTCTGGCCAAAATGACATCAAAGACATTTCCTTTCTTAGACTGAATATCTTTAAAGCCAGCTGTGTTGAGGAGCCTACAATGTTCAGATGTTTTCCGTGCTTTTCCTTCAGAATGAAGCAACGTTATGATGCAGTACACATGAGCAGGAAAAGACCCAGATATTTCTTCATCAATAGTTGGTTCCACTACTAAGACTCCACCACCTGTTGCAAAAGTAATTTATTAACTCAGGAATAGGTTGCCTAGAACAGAAGTGAGTCCTTCATCTCATTTTTATACCTATGGCTGTGCACTTTCTCCCACTACTTTCCCCCTTTTCTAAAAACATTGTTTAGTCTCTCTTTCTCTAGGTTAAATCCATGGTCTATTTTAGTCGCCTTTCTGTCCTAAAATATATTGAAATGTTTTACCATTCCACAGCTGCTTCAGCATTCCCAAAGTCATAACACATGCTACTTCAGCCCACTTAAAACAGGATTGCTTCCCATGGTGTGCCTATAGTTCATGACTGAAGCATCATGGAAATTCTAAGTAATCTTCAGTGATAAATTCAGTGATACATGGTATTTCTCGGAAGGGTAAGCAACAAACAAGAGCCTGATAGTACAGTGGACTAGAGCACTGTTATTAACATCTGCTGCTTGCAATTACTGCAAGTTCAAATCTCACCAGGCTCAAGGCTGACTCAGCCTTCCATCCTTTCAAAGGTAGGTAAAATGAGGACCCAGATTGTGGGGGCAATAAGCTGACTTTGTATAAATATACAAAAGTATGAAGGCTATTGCTTAACGCATTGTAAGCCGCCCTGAGCCTCCGGAGAAGGGTGGCATATAAATTAAAGCAAAAAAAAAAAAAACAGGTTTCATGACATAGCTTTCCTAGGTATCTATGGGAGGAAATGGATTCCACAGAATAGCAATGGTTCAATATTGTTTAGGGAGTGTGATTCAAAATGTAATGATCCTATTTCTTCTCCAAGTTCAGATTTAATAAGTAATAAATTTTGTTTATACTTTGAAAACTGTCAAGGTTACCTCCATGACATTTTAAGTTTAGAAAAGAATTTTGGCACATATTTGGCCTGCAAAATGGATCTATTGTTGTGACTCCATCCCCAGAGGCTGATTTATCTTCGCATGCTGATACATAGGATAATATGGAGGAAGCTGGCACGAGCTATGTGCCGGAGGGGCCGTCTTCACTGGTGAGTCAGCAAGAACTGACAGTTGCTGACGTGCCTCTGGACCCCAGCCAAATTGAGGAGGAAACAGAGGCCAGTAACGAGGAGAGGGAGCCCTTATTGGATGCAAGAGAGAGACGTAGGAGACGTCGTAGAGAACAGCTATTGCTACGTCCCAAGAGGTGTGGTCAGGAAACATAGGGCCACACTCTACAAAGTATAAAAGGGGTGTGGCTGGGCCGGAAAGGCGTGGTGAACAATTTGTTGGCGTTTTGGATGCAGTGGAGTTTAGAACTGCTAGTTTTGAGTTTTGAAAAGGAGTCTGCATTCCTGCATTAGCCTGCTGGCCGTCTGCCAAGACCTCTGGAACATTACCTGGTAATTACTGAACTGATATACCTTTGGAACATTGCCAATAACTACTGAACTGATATACTTTTGAAAGAGAACTGTTTATTAAAGGGCCAGCTTCAATCCTCTAGCCTGCATTTGTTACTGCCGGGCTATTTGAGCTTCTGCAAGGCCACTCGTGGGAGGGGACAGAACATCTATTTTTAGTCTTATTAGGTAGAAAAGTACCACCTTTCTGTCTCCAGATAGGAGACAGATAGGAGCTACCACCTATTTTGGCAACGCAGTCTAAGATAAGCACCAATACAACCCATTTCTTCCCAACTACAGGTAGTCTTATTTACAACTGTTCATTCATTGACCATTAAAAATTATGTACCCTGGTCATGTAATCCTAATTTCGACACTTGGCAACACACCAGTACTTACACCTCAAGGCACTGCTATCACATCAAACCAGGGGTGAAATCAATTTACCTTCCCTACTGGTTTGGAAGTGCACACGCCATCGTCACATCCTATTTTAGACCCTCTGTGCATGCACAAAGCCTTCTGCGCATGCACAGAGGGTCAAAAACAGGTTACTTCCTGGTTTAAACCAGGAAGTAACAATGTTTGGGCAGGTAGGTGAAGCCTCGCTCTGCTGCCGCTATCGGTTTGCCAAACCACCCACCACCGCCGCTACTGGTTCGCCTGAACCAGAGCAAACCAGTAGCATTTTAGCCCTGCATCAAACCCACCACTCTCTCATCCTATCTCAGTTGCCCACCTACCCCTGTCCACTTCTCCCCATCCATACAGAAAGCCCAAGCCTTCTTCCTGTCCCACCCTGCCCTGATCTACCAGTTTTGTCTTGTTGTGCAGCTGCTGACAGGTGTGCCAAGCCAATGTGAGCACAGCCAAACAGCTAGCAAATGGATGTTTCTGAAGAGCAGAAACATTAGCACACAGAGCAGAGGGAAAGCCTTCCTTTCTCTGGCCAAGCACAGTGATTTCCTTCTATTCACAGAGTGGAGGGGAATTCCTATGTTGGGTCAGAGAAAGGAAGCTCTAATCCTGAAGAGTTTCTCCAGGCTTCTGCAGAAGATGCCTTCCACAGATAGAGGGGAGAGAAACATCTAATGTAGGCTGAGAAAAGGAAGCTCGGATCCCAAAGAACTGAGCTTTTTATCTCTGGCCTAGCATCAGTGGTGGGTTGCTCCTGGTTCAGTCCGGTTCTATAGAACTGGTAGTAAAACCAGCGGGAGGCTCCACCCATCCACCCCAATGTCATCATGGGTGATCTGCGCATACACAGAAGCTTCTGCACATGTGCAGAAGTGCACACGCACAAGCGAATCAAGCACGCACATGCGTTCCCGTTGCGAACCGGTAGTAAAAGTAAGTAGAACCTATCCCTGCCTAGCATGGTGTTTTCCTTTCACACATGGACTGCAGGGGAAAGACTATAGTGGGCAAGGAACAAAGATCTGTCAGGCAAAAAAAAAAAAACACCTTGATTTCTTTATTGTTATATGAATCTTGCCAAACTGAAGCCGGACACTACTTACAAGAAGAATATAGTCTGGGAACTACTGGGGAGGGACTTTTTTCTCCCCCACAAATTATTTGAACACAGTTGTCTTTTACTCATCTACATTTCATCACATAATCAGACTTTTTCAGTCTACCGACATAGCTGCTTACAAACCCAACTGGGAGAACCAGTTATTGCTGTTATAGAATGAAACAGTACTATGGTGACTTTCATAATGACTGCAATGACCTAAAACCTAAATTCTGAGCCCATTTGAGATCATAAGTAAAGCACTATCTGTAATATTGTCAAAGGTCATTGCAAGTACATAAAAAGCCATGGAAGACCCTGATTGGCTTGCTTCTCTTCCCATTCACAAATGGCTTTTTTTGTTTGTTTGTTTGTTTGTTTCTAGCAATATGAATATGCCTACCTGGCTTACAGGCCATAAATACTTTTGTTAGTAGGTGGATACACTTTTCATCATTCCAGTTAAACAAGACTCTTGATAAGATGTAAAGATCTGCTTCAGGAATTGGATCTTTAAAAAAATCTCCTGCAATAAAAAATAATTGTTAATAAAGTAGGAATTGAAGTCTTATCACCTTGGAAACAGAAATTATTCTCCCTTTCACAAAGTTTGGCTCTGCAATGCTACTAGCTTCTTTCAGTAGTGCTTTTTGAAATGGCAAGAGATATTGTTTCAAAACACATATTACCTTCATGGAAAGTGATCTGAGAGTCATCTGAAAATGCACTGTATTTTTTAGAAATATCCATAACTTCAGGAAGATCAAAAAGTTTCACGGTACAATTCGGATACTTTGAAATCAATTCCTTAGCGAAGCCACCACTACTTCCTTGAAAAAAGAACAAAATGCAAAAAAAAGGACCTATGTAAGAAAAAATATCCTGCATGTCAACGTTTTTAACAATTTAGTAGAATAGTTATGATGGCTTTTTAAAATTTACCTCATTGGTTTTTTCCCTTGTAGCGGGCTAAGCAGGCAGATAATATTGTGATTTTAAAAAATATATTCATAAAAGTATGTTGTCTGCTTTATTCTCCTACATTATATTTTTATCATTGTCATTTTACTACGCACAGACATTCCTTTATTTCTTTTAAAATCTAACCCACTAGGTATTATTTCTCATTCTAGTCCCATTCAATGATTCTTTGCATCGCTTTTTCCATGATTGCTTTGCTTTAGCAAAACTAAAGAGCACTATTTTATTGGCTGCAGTGAAATTTGAGCAGAAATTAATCCAATGTTATCTCTGACACCATTGCTTTCAGTTTTATGCAAAAGTATTTATTTTAAATCAATTTAAAGCTTTTTCCATCTTGTTAGGCTACGACAATTTCCAAACTATATAAAATGGATAACTGCTTCTTCTAATCCAACATAATTTCAAGGTATGTTGGGGCAGCCAGAATTTTAATTTCCATATTGTTATGGTCATCCCAAGATCTAATTCTGAGAATTTTCCAATATCTTTGGTATCAACTCACTTCTGCAGTGTGTTCACTGGAGATTAATAGAAATACTTCACTTTCATATTGCATTATAAATATAAAAGAGCACCTAGCACTGATTGTATACACATCAGGTGTTTTGTTCAGCATCTTTTACTCTAAAAACTTAATGACAGTAAATGTAGATCTGTGGTGCATTCTGTAACCTTTTTCACACATTTTTCTCTTTGTATGCCTTCAACTAAATCTTGACTCCTGGTATCTGCATGGACAAGTTCCTGCAGTTTTCTTGGCAAGAGTTCAGAACTGGTTTGCCATTACCCCCCTTCCTAGGGTTGAGACAGAGTGACTCAACCCTAGGAAGGTCCAAAGTCATCCAGCTGGTTTTATGCCTAAAGCAAGACTACAACTCACAGTCTCTCAAATTTTAGCTTGATACCTTAACCACTGCTTGAAGCTGGCTTTCTTCATACCATGCATCATGAAAATATCTCCCCCAGGCAATGGAGGAAATAAGAAGGAAAAGAGTGTTTTTCTCTTCAAAAATGCTCCTACTTTTTTCCAAGCAGTTCCTAATTACTCTGAGACATCCAATAATGCTGATAAGCTAAGCCATTTTAAAATTAGGTATTTACAAATAAAGTTTAAAAATCTAGGAAAGAGAATATCACAGGGTAGGATCCGGCAATCCTACTTTTGAATCAGGGAATTACAAGGTCTTGGCATAGTCTAAGAAGTTTGTCAATCCAATTCCTCCAGAATAACTGATAGTATCAAATTACTAGGAAGGGGCATTATGATGACCTTTAGGTACTTACCACCCAGATCATAAATCAGCTGAAAACCAGAAAGATTAAAGGCAGAGACCACTTCTTTTCCATGCAGACTCCAAGCCTCATCCAAGTACCTGAAAAAGCTTTCAACGCCTTCCTTTGATCTAGAATTGAAAGTTGCACCGGCAGATGATTAACAGAGTCACAACTAAATAAAGTACAATAAATGAAATACAATATGATTAACATCTGACCATAAAGATATTACATAGAATTACACTCTTCGTTATTCTCTTCATTCTCTGCAGGTTTTTGTGTGAACACCATGATTTTAAAGATGAGGTTTCTAAATATCTGAATTGAAGTTAAAATGACATTTTAAAACAGTACTCAATGCATGTCTACATATCTTGTTCTTGCAAACCATCCAGTGTTCCACAATTTCAATAAAGTGATGTTAAATTTGCAATCTAATCCCCAAATTTGATGGTAGGTTTGATGGAATAGTGTGAGCATCATTAGAGCAAAACAGAGCTTTGGTTCTGCTTGTGGCACATTGTCCATCCATTCCTTCACAATTTCCATTAACTGGTGATAAATTGCCCAGTAGACAGTTTGCAAAGTCTCCAAAGTTGTAGGTTGGATGGAACATGAGCATAGTTAGAACAAAGCTGAGCTTTGGTTTTGCTTATGGCACATTGGCCAAAATCAGTATTGGTGGGTAGCACTGCTAAGGTAGACTTTCTATCTTATTAAAAAACGTTCATGAAAGTTTTGCAGAGTTGCAAAGTAAGATTTGATAAGAAAAATTAAAGCAAAACAGCTGATCAAACTTTACAAAGGAAAGTCATTAAAATGCTACTTTTACCTGTACAGTGGTCCATAAAATTCCTTTGAAGAATTGCCATATATTGATAGAATCTGAGGTTTTCCATTCCTGTAGCAGATTTTTGTTTGGTTTTTTTAAAAAAAATTGAAAGCAACAATTTTTCCTTCATTTCCAGCATTGTGTTTAAATAGTATTAAATATATTGTTTTGTATTATTTGCAAAAGATATTCTAAAAATATCACAGGCTGTAAACAGTAATAGAAACATGTGAAGTGGGTAAATTAAATTTAAATCTTTATGTCCATTTTGTTTCACTACTTTTTTCATTAATAAACAGTATGAAGATCAGATAAATTCCTTTAACCAATTCTCTTATAGGCTTTTCTTTTTTTACTTTGAATATTTAAATATTTTAATTTAACTGCTAAGACAATTTAAATATTTTAACTGGATTAATAACCTTAACCCACCTCTTTACAGGTTAGCTTTGTATGTGTCTGTCCAGGCGTGCCTGTATATAGATAGGCACATTCTCCAAAGGCGTTGAGCAAGAATTAAGTTTTGATTAAGTGGATAATTAAGTGGATAATTAATATGCACCACTGAAAAGCCCAAAAAGAAATGTGCGTGTAATCAGTTCACAACCACTGCATCTGTTGAAACTCCACCTCTTATAAGCAAAACAGAATGGTGCTTAAACAAATCCACAGCTTCAAACATTATTAGTTATTTGATCTCAGGGGAGATACAGGAGAAAATAGGCAAACTGTATCGAATAATGATTATTTTAGAATAATTTAGTGCATAATCATAAAAATGATATAACAATTTCCAAGTGAAGACTCAAATCTCAGTTACTTCTGTGGGAAAGAAAACCCAAAAAGTGTCCTGGTCTCTAACATGCTCTTGGTGAAAAGATTTTTATTTCATTTTAATGCTCCCTTCTTACCTTACAGCTTCAAGCAAGTATTGCAGTGATGAATATACACATTCTGAAAGAAATTTCATGGTATAATACTGAGACTTTGGGCTTGATTTAGCCAGAAAAAGATCAGCAAACTCTGTGTTTCCATAAAGATCTGAAAATGAAAGCATAATGTAAGAGAATTGTTTCAAAACAGGTTACTGAACTTCCTGTACATTTGATATGCGTAAAGCATGGATTCATTATAAATGATTACATTTAAGTTTATTTCAGTAATGAAACCTAAAACATTTAATTTTGCATTCTAACAAAAGTTGCTGATGACATTGAATCAAGTCACAGGCTGGTAAAGTGGCAGAGTTCTCTGCATATAGCATTTATAAAAAATAAATTAATAAACAAAATTCATGACTATGTATAGTAAAAACTCATACCTATGTACAGTATAACTACTAAATAAAACAAAAATGAAGAAAAATTGGCCAGAAACCGCTAACTCCACAGAAAGATTGCTGTGCGGTTCTTTTAAAACAGCTGTAACTCTTCCTCCTGCTGCAGGATCACCTTTGCCCTCCTTCCATTCCATTTTCAGGACCTTTAACCCCACACAGGCCCCCAGCAACCTCTGCATCCCAATGAGACTGGTTTTCAAGTGCTCAGCCACAGTTGTAGAGGACATCAGTTCCCCTGACTCTCTCAGCACATCGAAGACACCCAATTCACTTGCAGTAAATATGATCTGGAAAGAAACGGGAAGATGTAGAAAAAAAGAAAAGATGTGAGTACGGATTTACGTTTTTGAGGGTTCCAGACAGAGGTGGGTTTCAGCAGGTGGGTTTTTACCAGTTCTGGAGAACCGATAGTGGAAATTTTGATTAGTTTGGAGAACCAGTAGTAAAAATTGAGACTGGCCCCACCCCCATCTATTCTCTGCCTCCCAAGTCCCAGCTGATCGGGAAGAAAAGGGGATTTTGTAGTAACCTTCCCCTGGAGTGGGGTGGGAATGGAGATTTTACAGTATCCTTCCCCTGCCACGCCCACCAAGCCACACCCACCAAGCCATGCCACGCTCACCAAGCCACACCCACAGAACTGGTAGTAAACATTTTTGAAACCCACCACTAGTTCCAGATCACACAGAGAATCATACTCGCACTCCAGAGAACAATATGTTCTAGGAACCAAGCATGATTATGGCAATCAAGCTCGTCTGCTGTACATGTTGCTGATGAGCAAGAGAAAAAATGGGCTCACAGATCCATTCCTTTTCCAACTACATGCACTCAGCCTGGATTAGTTAACAGCCCAGAGTCTCTTGACAGCATGATGTATGGCATATAAATTTTATAAATAAATAAAAAGTACAGCAACACAGTGGCAACTAGTAATATTATTTTCTTCTTGAGTGCTTGGTTCGTTTGGGTAATTTGTGGTAAAACCACTGGAAGCAGCCATGTTTGCGTTAAAAAAACACAACCTTTAAATGGTTGAGGACTTTGGCAGCTTTTATTTTCTTTTTTTTTTACATTTTTTTAATTGCTTTTTAATTAATAACCAAAAAAGAAAAGAAAAGAAGCAGAACACAAAAATAATAATGATGGAATTATATACTTTGCCAAATAAAGAAAGGGAAAAAGAACATTTCTTTGTGAAATAAATACAACAAAAAATTCTATCATATATTTCATTATAACTATAAACAGTTACAATTCTATATATAATTATCAAATGAAAATATTAAACTATGTATAGATTTTAATACATTTACATAACTACTAATCTACTGTATTTTGTAGAGTTCATATTTCATTACATTTATCCTTACAAGTCTGTATCTCTAGGCAATCTTCTCATAAATGGAAAATACTATCAGGCCTTCAATCGACCCGTGCGCTCCCACAGAGAGGGCCTCCTCAGAGTGCCATCAGCCAAACAATGTAGGCTGGTGGCCCCCAGGGGGAGGGCCTTCTCTGTGGGGGCTCCCACCCTCTGGAATCAGTTGCCCCCGGAGATAAGGAGAACCCATGACCTCAATGCCTTCCGTCGTTCCCTGAAAACCCATCTTTTCCAGCAAGCCGGGTTGGCTTAAGAAGAAATTTTTAAATTCTTTTAATTAGTCTGTGATTTTTTAACTTTCGGGCCAAAATTTATATATATTTTTAAATGTTTTAATATTTGTATTCTATGTTTTTTATCTTGGCTGTACACCGCCCTGAGTCCTCAGGGAGAAGGGCTGTATATAAATTGGAAATTAAATTAAATTAAATTAAATTAAATTAAATCCACTGAATAAATGGGCCATACAATAATCTTTCCAGTACTCCAGTATTAAGTTTTTGAGCATTATAAGGATACAGAGAATCCATTTACTTAGTACTGACAAATTCCATGTAGCACGTATGTGATTCAAGACAATATTATCCTCTGAAAATTATGAAATATTTCTTTAAACACTTGTCAAAGTTTTGGTACCAAAGTATCTATAAATTTAACATTATCTTTTGCACTACTCAAGGACGAACCCATCTTACTCTGGTGTTTTATCACTTAACCATTTTAAAATTTATTTTTTTAATCATCTCAGTGAAGTGAATAAAGTTTTTTTAATGCAATATCTAAATATGGTAAATTTTATTTTTAAAAGCCTCTATATCAGGGGTCTTCAACCTTGGTAACTTTAAGACTTGTGGACTTCAACTTCTGGGAGTTGAAGTCCACAAGTCTTAAAGTTACCAAGGTTGAAGACCCCTGTTCTATATGGTCCTTCAGGTTGTCCTCTCTTAATGACTATTCATTTTACAACTTTTCAAGCTCACAATGGCCACAAAATGGGTGCTTTGCAGCCTATAAAGCAACCCCAGCCATCATAAATGGTCATACTATCCCACTATGGTCATGTGAATATATATTGAGTGGGATAGTTATTACCTCATGCAGCATTCCACAACTGTGATTGACTGCGATTTGCAATGTTTTTGCCAGTTTCTGGCTGACAAAAGAAAAAGCCAATTCAAATGAATGGGTTTGCTTAATGACTTGGGCATTTGTTTAAAACTGCAGTGTTGACTTAACAATTGTGGTGTTTGCTTAACTGCCATGAAAAAGATTCTAGTCACTGCAGATGCCTTGACTTACAACATAAAGACTTATGTAATTCAGGGCTCAATTATAGTTTTGATTTTAGGTTTAATTATATACATTCCTGAATTTCTTTTTTAAATTGACACTTTATATCCATTGAAATTTTCAAAGATGTAAAATAGAATGTTTTTGTAAGCTTTAATACCTGATACATTATTTGTAAATATTAGATATCTTACCTTTGAATTTAAAAATGAATGCTGATAATGAAATAACGTTTTAATATTTTCAGTTTCTTCTGGTGAACTCATTGTGTTTTTAGGAAGTTCTACAGTAACTCTTTTCATATTAAATTAAATATCTCCAGTTCTTCAGATATTTATGGGTTGCTTCCAGGATCAGAAAGTCAAAGTCGCAGAAATAACTAAAGTCCTAAAGCAATTGTTTCAAATAGCATAAGAAAAGAAAAGAAAAGAGGGTAGTGAAATTTCATTAAATACAGGGTAATGAGAATTACCACTATTCACAGAAGCACAAGTACAGGAAATATATTTGGAATATTCTCATTGATTCTAAAAATTTTCTTTAAAATCAAATTTCTTTAAGGAGAAAATGAATCATGAATTTTTTGAAAATTAGAAGAATTTTTGTCATAGAAATTTAGAAAAAGATCACTTTCTTCCTTTAGAGAGAGATTAGAATGCAGATTTTATTGGGGAGGAGAGAGTGATTTATTAATTACAGCAAGAACATGCTTTTAAAAGATGTTAAAGGATCTAAAACTCTGAAGAAGGGTGAAAATGATATTACAGTTTAAAAACAGATTAATTATAATATGATAATATTAGCAATATTGTTTTACAAATGGACTGCAGAATATTATTTCATTTAAAATATTTAGACTTGTTTTTATTGTGAGAGAACATGTCATTTAACTATTTAAAATGCAGTATTATTTTCAAATGAAATCAAATATCTCCAGTTGCAAGCGCAGCTGTTGTCTTTTCCTTCTCCAAGAACAGCAATAATTAATGTAGCAAAAAAAATCAAATAAAATTATTAATCAGAAAGAAGTCAGTGTGAACACTTAATTATTGTATTCTTCAGAGTCTTTTGAGATCCTACTTAAAAAAGTAAAGACATGAGTCGACTTTGACTTCTTCAGGGTCCATGAACATCTCCTGGACACAGTATTGTGCTATTACTACCAAAAAAATAATATTTTACAAGCATTTAGACAACATTGTGTTTCTCCTATGATTTCCTAATCTGCTTCAGCTTTGTCCCTACTAGAAAGAAAAATAAGTTAAGAAAGAAAAGAGAGATTAGAGTAGCTGGTCAACCCCTATTTTTTTATACTGCCCAGACTGTTTCTTGATCAGAGATCTTCCAAATAAAAATGAACAATTCATTCCATCCAGGTTTATCTGGCTCCATTTAAATTATATCACATACTGGTAAATTATACTCACCTCAGGGGATTGTTGTTGTGCAGAACATAGGAGAATGGTATATCATGTATGCTCATGATCTTGACTTCCTTGTAATATAGGCAGGATAAAAATCTAATGAATAAATAAAATCAGAGATATCAGAGAAGCAATTTAATGCACTAAAGAAAGATCTGGCAACATAATCTTTCCATAACAGTGTGAGTTTCCTTTTTAAAGTTCTGACAACCATGCTTATTTCTTCATATTGTTAGTTTTCTACTTCATCTCCCCTCAAGACAGCATAGACAGCACTTTCTCTCCCTGGATCTCCCCTCAATAACTCTATGAATCTGAGTCTCCTCAGTCATATTATTATGTGTTCATCTCCGAACACTTTGTTAGCCTTCGTCAGATCCTTTTCATTTCTTCTCATCCGCAAAGATATGCTGCCATATTTTATTTTATATTGTTTTATTTTTGATGGCCTCCATTCCTTTTTACCTGCCCTTTAGGATCACGAATCCCAAAGGATTCTTCTCTGGAGACAATGCTTTTATACCTTCTGCAAT